CTCTTCCATTCTGAACTGCTTCCTTCACAGGGACGTGTAGTGAGGGGGACTGGTGTGTGTATGTGTGTGTGTGTGTGCATGCATGTGTGTACACAGCTCATGGCATGTGGGGATGGGGAGGGCGACATAGGCTTGAGCTCTGGCAGTTGTGGGAATGCAGGAGGGGGGACTTGAGGGCCTTTATAAAACTGCGTATGGCAGTGTAATATACGTGCAGAAGAGAGCACTCAGCGTAAATCGAACAGCTTGATGAATTTTCACAAGCTGAGCACACCCATGTCACTACCACTCAGCTGAAGAACAGGGCTGGTGATGGGTAGCCCAGGGGCCTCCCCTTCCAGTCACTCCCTACCACACCTCCACTTTGTGACATCTTAAATCTTTACTTTTGCTTCCTTATAGCTACAGCAGTGGGGGAGGGGAAGCTGGGGGCAGGTGGGAAGTGGTGGATATGGTTTGGGATGGGAGGGAGGAATGTATGTCAGGTCCCTTCCACCCGCCTTCCACAAACATGTAAAAGACCCTGATGTGGGCCAGGCTTCTGGTTAGACTCTGGGGCCAAGTTCAGAGATGGGAAGACAGGACTCTTTGTGCTGTACTCTTGGGAAGGCTGTGGGGTTAACATGACTGAGAGTCCCAGGGCCCGGGTTCCGTCCTGGCTACACTACACACTAGCTGTGTGACTTCTGGGCCCTGGTTCTCCTCATCTATCTATATGGGTGGGTTGGCCTGAATCATCCTTAAGGGCCCTTCCTTACGGCCCTAAAAGAGCGACCCTTATCTCAGCACCCACTCTGTGGCTGTAGCCCCAACTCAGCCCCTTTCTGGACCCAAGTCGTGTATGTGTCCCTCTGTGGGCATTGGCCCTGCTCAGTTCAGCCTTTAATCTCTTTATTTCTCTATCTGCTTCTTGGGGTTCGGTGGGGGTGGGGACGCTGGATTGTTTGCCTTCCTTCTATATCTTTTCCTCTAATTAGTTTATAATCTCTGAGAGGTGACCTAGGCCAGACCTTCTGGGCCGGGGGCCAGCTGATTATCTCTGATGCTGCCAGGGGAGGATTAAATGTTTTTCTCCTGAGGAGCTGGTCACACGCGCTGGTGTCTGAGTCAGCATCCAGCGTTACCTTTTTATGGGTCCAAAGGAACCTCCCAGGCCCTCTCTGCGAAAGGTAGACAGTCCACGGTGTGGACGGACGGACAGGAGGCCACGCCAGGGTAAATACTGACTCCGCCAAATGTAAGACAAATACAGGCAGGTACAGAGGTACAAACACATTAGAGGGAGGAGAGGGCGGGGGCTGTCCTCGGGAGGCTGCCATCGGAGAAGAGGCTGTGGAAGAGGTGGGGGTGGGAGCTGAGTGAGAGAAGGTGGCAGGGGCGGTAGCTTAGAGCCTGCGGCTGGCCTCTCCCTAAATGGGGAGGGGGGGCACGTTCTGGTAATTTTAGGGACACGTGAGAGATTGGGAGTTGGGGGGGACACTTTTAAACTATAACGTGTTGTAAGTGCTGCTGCTGTGGGGTAGAGGGAGAAAGGCCAAGGATGCTTGGCTCCTGTCTCCCTCTAAGAGACCCCAAGTACTATTAGGTGTGGCAGGGCTGGCTCGCTCCCCCCTTACACATAGGCTTCAACCCTAGGACTCCCTTCCCCGAGCCTCTGCGATGGGTGGAAAGGCATGAGAAGAGCAGGGAAGAGGAGAGGAAATTGGGAGAGAGGGAGGGTGGTGGGTAGCCCAGAGAAGGGGGAGCTGGGGGTGGGACATAGCGGGGCATCTGGCCCCGGGAGAGATGGGCTTTGGCCAGACTCACCTGGAGCCCATGTAGATGCCCTCCCTCACTAGCTCTGTGAATTTGGGCAAGTTCCTTAACTTCTCTGAACTTCCGTGGCCTCGACAGTAAAATGAAGACAAGCCTCCCTCCTCAGCAGGGTTGTTGTGAGGAGTCGAGAGCTCTTAGGTAAAGCGGTAAGTGCTCATAAGTGGTCATGATTGTTGTGATTATTATTTCATCCAAAGTCTGGAAATTGGTTTCAGTCCTTAGATGGAGAATGGAGGGAGAGGGGACAGAGAACACTGGGGATTGTTCTAGGCCCTGTGGGACCAAATTCTGCATTTGTTTCTGTTTGGACATGAGGTGCCCACATGCTTCTCCTGGAGACTTCTCAACAGCCACCTCCTTTCACATCAAGGCCTTGATTGTGGAGAAGGGACCCTTGACCCCTTCTGAAATCCTGTGCCCCTGCAACCCGAGAGGTTGGAGGCCATCCTGTGCTGCCAGCTGGCCCGGCCAGCCTGGCCCAGCGTCCCCGCTCAGAAACCAGGGCGGTGGAATTAGCAGGCTTGTACTAAGCCTGTGTCCGCGGTGACGCGCTAGGCAGCCGGTTCCCTCACGCTTACATAAGTGGGGCCAGGAAGCTGAACTTGTTTTTGCTGGCAAGAGCAACAGCAAGCTGCAAGGGAGTTGAGAAATATGTCTTCGTGTGCGTGTTTTTCTCTGGTTATTGACATTTGCACGTTTACTTGAAGAGGGAAAAAAGTAGAAAAACAACAAAGCTGTTCGTGTTTCTGGCACCCAAACTTAGGTCCAGGATGGGGAGGAACTCCAGTTCCCAGAGCTGTGATGCAAAGTCCCCGGCTGTGGTGGGGCGCCCAGTGCCCCAGGGAGTGGGATTACTTGGGCCCCAGGGGCCTTGAGGTGTGGGACTGGTTGCCAGGGGTTACTAGACTCAAGCACTTTTCCCCTTGAGGAATGAGAGGTGAGGGAGGTTGTGGGAATTTCCCTCCCCTCGAGCTCTCTAGGGACAGAAGCATTTGTCTGAGGGACTGGGATGACCTGGCCATCGTCCCTTGCCAAAAGTCATCAACTATTAGTATAATAAATCCATAGATTAATTATTCTTTCAAGCTGGGGTATTGTCTGAGATAAACAGACGTGCTTCCTGCCCTCTGAGAGCTAATGATTCAGCGTGATAGATGCTAGACTGCAGGAGTAGGGGCAGCAGGGACCTTCAGATCCTGGTCTGAACCCTCATCTCACAGAGAAGGTGAGTGCGGCTCTGCATGGGCTTTGATGTGCCCAAGGCTGCCTGCAAGTCACTGGCAAAACCAGGAATAGAACTCGGGTCTTCTGACAACACAGGGCTGTTCCCTCTGTGCCAGGCTGCGTCCCACTCTTAGAGATGTACTTTATATTAAATGACAAATCAAGACAAGACTACATTGGTGTCAGCCCAACCCCACCCAGTTAATAGTCAGTGACTAGACTGACTATTAACTAGATAGACCAGACACCAAGTGCTTTGACAGTGGAGGAGGAGATGTGGGGAGGTTTGTTTTCAGGAGAGGATATTTTTCTGATCTCAGTCCCAGGCAAGATGCTTTCGCCTTCTCTGCGGAATCTCTTTTCTTTGTAGGAACCTGCAATGAAGGATGCTGCCACCCAGCATCCAACATTGGCCTTGATAAGAACAAAGAAGCCTCCCGGTCCTTGGCTACCCCCTCCTCTCTCCTGCCTCTGTGGTGCTTTATGATGCAGTAGGAACCCGGGGGACAATTGATACATTCTCAAGGTGATTGAAAGATAAACCGAAGGAGGAAGCAGTGTTGGCTTCTGTCCTGGAGGCTGGAGTTGGTGGCGGGGTGGGCACTGAGCCTGCACATACCTCTGCCTGGAGAGTCAGGTCGGGTACCCCTGGAGGACACCAGGTACCTGCCCTCTCTGCGGCTCTGACTTCTCCGTACCTTTGCATACCGTTCCCTCTTTATAGAATGCCATTCCCTGTGGCTCCACTAATCAAACGCCCCACTCATTTCTCAAGGCCCAACTCACAAACTCACATCTCTCTTCCCTTGGATCCCTCCCTTTTAGAATGATTTACCTCTCCTTTTGGCTCCTTCGATCTGTCAGGGACGTTTATCCCAGGGAGGCCTGTATTATAGGTGGTTTTAAGTTCTCCACGGGGTTTTGTGGGGGTTAAACAAGATTATGATATGGAAAAGGTGGAGAGGCATGTTGGTGCATAGTAGGTGTTCAGTTACTATCCATTCTCTTCTGGGTTAGGATTTCTGGCCATGCACATGATGGGTGCACCAAAAATTCTTGTATTCTTAAGGAGGGGACAGGCACAGGCTTGCAATTGCTCAAGGGCAGATGCTAAATTGCGTGCTCTTTGTTAAATGTCAGAGTGTGCAGGGACCGCCCCTCCCTCCACGCCAACCCCCCTTGCCATCCCTCACCACCACCCCTATTGCTGGGATGGGAGTGTGAGAATCGCTGGGGCCCATCTCTGAGAGCAGGAAGGGGTACTCTCAGCAGCCCCCCCACCTGTGCCCTGCTGTGGCCCTTCCCTTTGGCCCTTCCCTATCAGGGAGGCCTATTTGGGGAGGGCCCTGGCACACTCCTGGGAGCAGACAAGCAGGGGCAGATAGGAAGGGATGGTGGCCTTGTGTCCACCAGGGGATCAGGTCAGCAGGGCTGAGGGCTAAAGGTTTAGAACCCAGTGAAGGTGACAACACAGAGCTGCAAGGGTGCAGGGTAAACACTGGCCTGGAAGGTGTGCTCCAAAGCTGCTTGTCCTGAAAAGTCCACTGTCACTGCAGCCCTGTTCCCTGGTGCCCATTGCACTCTGCCTCACCTCCTCCTTCCTCCCTAGACAGAATAATTTGGGCAGACCCAGGCTATGTAGCTTCTTTGTTTTAAATACATATGTTCATTATGAGAGTAATACAAACAACTTACAGAAAATTAAAAAACTACAGAAGGATGAAAGGAAGAGGAAGAAATCACCTCTAGTCACATTGTTTGGAGAGGTGGGCAGAAGTGCCAGGAGGGCATTCTGTGAATGTCACTTCTTCCTCTTCAGAGGGAGCCCATGAGACTCCCGTGTGGCCACTGGGGTGTCATGGGCATTGCGTCAGAGATTCAGGTCAGGAGGCAGAGGGCTGAGGGGGTGGGTGGGTGGGGAGGGACGGCACTACCCACTTGGACGTTATCAAGTTTATTTTCTTGTGGTCCTTCCTCTCTGAGTATTGGATTGTGATCATCTGCCTATAGTGCTTTTAAAAGCATGGTTAACACAGTGTTATTCACAGGTTCTAGAAGAAACATATTTTGAAGGAGGGCTGGGACAAGCAATACTTGCCAATGAGTGGTTTATAATTAATCATTCCCCATTAAAAAAAATAGTGACTCAGTTTTAAAGATTCAGAAAACCATTACTCAAGTTTCTTGGCAAAGGAAGTGGCCATTATGTTCCTCCCGCAGCTCTGCTTTTGTGGAAGAGAAAATAAGTCTTTTTATTTGCTATTTCTCTGAGCTGCCCAAATACTTTGGCCATTGTTAGTGAGTGCAGGAACAGGACAGCCCCTGCCATTGTTCAGGCTGGTCACTAAACATGGCAAGAGCTTCCATCTGACCCGGGGGTAAGGGAAGTGACCAGAGAAACATATTTCCTGGAACTGGCAAAGGCAGAAGCAGAAAAGAGAGCTCCCTCTCGCTCCAGGCTCATATCTTCTTTCCTTAGCATCTCATGGTTGTGACAAGCTGGCTCCTCTGGTCTCTAGTGAAGGGCCTGCCCATTGTACAACGTGGGGGGCACCACTTAGACCACTGTGTCATCTATGACTGGTGCTCCTGGGAGTTTTCAATGTGGAGGCCCTGTCCCTGTGGGCACCTCTTAGGTGCCCTACATTAAACAAACATCTATTAAGCACCTACTGAGTTCTCTGATGAGTGCTAGCAGGGGCTCACAGTCTCATAGTCATGGTCAGGGATGGGGACCTGTATATAGCTGAGGACAGTGCCATGTGAAAAGTGCCAATAAAAGGATGAGCCGTCCATGGTCCTTGACCCCTGCTTGGACTTTCATGCGACCTGCCTTGTGTCTTTGTGTATTGATGCCTTGTGAATTCTAATTTCTGCTCATGAGCTGATGGAGGGATGTTGTAAGTACTGCACAGTGGGGCCACCCACTGGCAGACAGTCCTGTTTTGGCAGTGTCTCCGTCTTGGTTCCTACAGTGGTGGTAATTTGTGCATGAACTTGACATCCATGTCAGGTTTTATCCTTATAGCTGCTTTATCAAGTGGAAAATAGAAAAGTAAAAGTATTGATATAGTGTTTAGAAGTGTCAGTGGGTCTTCTAAACTTAACCTGATTCAGGCACAGGTAGAAATCAGTATGTGGACTGGACATGGCGAGCTGTAGCCTCCATCAGGTGCTCATCGGACTTAAACACATCATACTGTGTGTTCAATTATACTGTGTGTTCAATTATAAAGGAAGAGCACACATGTGACATGCACACACACTGGGACCAGCAGTTCTACTCAGGGAAATTCTTGGGCAAATGCACCAAGAGACACACGTGAGAAAGTTGACAGCCATACTCTTTGATATAGCCAAATACTGGAAATGACCCAAACCTCCCTCAGCAGGAGAATGATATACTTGCACAATGGAATATTACACAGCCATGAAAATGAATGAACTATAGCTACATGTAACTGAATCATAGAAACATATGAATGACAAAAACATGTCACAGAAGACTATATTCAAACCATTTATATAAAGCTCAAATATCAAGCAAAGTTAAGAAAAATTTAGGGATCCATGAGTGGTGAACCTATTTTTAAAAGTAAGGGAGTGATAGGGCCGGCCCTGTGGCTTAGTGGTTAAGTGCGCCTTCTCCGCTACTGGCAGCCCGGGTTCAGATCCCGGGTGCGCACTGATGCACCACTTCTGGCCATGCTGAGGCCGCGTCCTACGTACAGCAACTAGAAGGATGTGCAACTATGACATATAACTATCTACTGGGGCTTTGGGGGAAGAAAAGGAGGAGGATTGGCAATAGATGTTAGCTCAGAGCCGGTCTTCCTCAGCAGAAAGAGAAGGATTAGCACGGGTGTTGGCTCAGGGCTGATCTTCCTCACAAAAAAAAAAAAGGGAATGATAAACCCAAAATGTGACACTGTATAGGCAGAGAGGCTGGGGGATACAGAAGCACAGAGGGAGCTTCAGAGACAATGACTGGGCTAGTGGTTAGGTCGGTAGGAGCTCAGGGGTGTTTCATGCTTCATAACTTTCATGTACATTACAGATATGAGTTTGCATGTGTTCAATATTATATAATACATTTAAAAACAATATTTGAAATGCTGCAAATATATTATTGAAGATTACATATGAAAGGTGTGCTGTAATTAGGGCTTTTGATAACTCTTTTAAGCCTCCTGGATATGGAAGTACCCTCGATGGATTTTGTCTTCTAGGGACTGGGATTTTGCTGATGTTCAGGGGAGCACTGTGTCCTCTGTCCCAGTTCTGCAGCAGTGAATGCGTCTTACATCTCCCGTCCTTGAGGGCAGGGTCTCTCTGCTGCCTGATTGTGTCTCCTCACTGGTGCCTGGCTCTGGGGGCCTCCTCCAATGTTTGTTGAGCATAGGACAGAGGGAAGGCCTCCCCGGCCCACAGTGGCGGAAGGTGAGGCGGAGGGGCCTAAGGAACCTGCCCAGGCTCTCCCGGCTGCATGGTCAGATTCAACCATTTTTCGCATCCAAAGTCCAAGACTCTGGTACTGAAGAGAAAAAAACCTTAGATGACTGGCTGCTACCCTGCACTTGTATCTGTCCTTTGTCTGCCAGCCTCAGGGCAGAGGGTGCCGGGGTGGCGGACTCTGGCTCCACCAGAGTGGTAAAGTGGTAAAGTGAGAAGGAAGCTTGAAGGGAGTCAATGCCAGGCAGAAGATGTCTCTGTCCCTTTGATACCCATGTCCCTGGTCCCTGGACTGTGGCTGGTGCTTGGTCTGGACAACCAGCCCTGCTGGTTTTGGGAGTGTTATCTTCCTGGGGGGTCACTGATCCTCAGTCGCTCATCTCTGACAGCCACCTTGGATGGGGTGGGAGAAAGGACAGTCTGCCAAGTGTGAGATAAAATCTCCTCTTCCCGAGCAAGAAGGCTTTGCAGGTCAGAGAGATGCTGGTCCTCCAGGCCTGGGGGCACAGGCGGGAGGTCAGGTCAGGTGCCCAGGCTGCTGCTGGGCCTTTCTGAAATCTTTGGCCAGATTTATTGCTGCTGCTGTTTGCTCATAAATGGTTTTATATGTAGTTTGAAGGACCAAGTGTGCCTACCATGAAAACTGGCTGTATTCCCTGGCTTCAGTTCCCTCAGCTGGCTGGACTAATTTAATTCATTGGTTAGACTACTTTATTTTTTTTTTTTTAAAGATTTTATTTATTTATTTTTCCCCCAAAGCCCCAGTACATAGTTGTCTGTCATAGCTGCACATCCTTCTAGTTGCTGTATGTGGGATGCGGCCTCAGCATGGCTGGAGGAGTGGTGCCTCGGTGCGCACCCGGGATCCGAACCCGGGCCGCCGGCAGCGGAGAGCACGCACTTAACCGCTAAGCCACGGGGCCGGCCCCAGGTTAGACTACTTTATAATCTTAGATTCTATGAATCTATTTAACCTATACTAAAACAAAAAGTTTACTTATTTCTTTAATCTTTAATATCCTTTTCCTTGAGTAGCACACACATAATTTTTTTCAGGGGATGGGGAGCACATTTGTTCTCTTTTACCTTCCAATTTGGTCCCTAGAATAAAAAGCATTGCCCTAGGTGGTTTAATAGACAGGTGTGGGGTACTGCAGGGGGTGCTGAGCAGAGCGGGAAGACCTGGTTTGCATCTCAGCTGTGTAGCTCACTTGCTGGGGATCTTGGGCAAGTCTCCTGATTCCTCTGTGCCTCAGTTACCATTTGTAAAATGGGACACCTACCATGAAGACCCTGGGATTCTGAGACTTCCGTGTCCTCATGCGTCTTGTGAGTCCCGTTGTGTACCTGGCATTCGTTCCTACGTGCATTCATTCATTCACGCATTCATCAAGTGCTCAGAGGGCCCCGGGCAACGTTCTCGGCACTGAAATATAACAGAGAACAAAACAGCATGCCTATTCCTGTGGCACTTGGGGTCTTGAAGAGAAGACGGGTACAGAATCAGTAATTATACCGCAGCGTGTGAAGGGGACATGGTGGGGAAGGTAGTACCGAATGGGGGCCTAATCCAGCTGGGAGTGGTAGGGAAGGCCTCTGGGGAAGGGATATTAGGCTGAAATAGGAGGAGGTAGTGTGGGGGTGGGGTAGGGGAGGAATGAGTGTGAGCAGAGCATAGGGAGCCTGAGGGGGAGGGGCTCTGTACCTTCTTGGGGGGTGGGGAGAGATGAGGCCTCAAAGGTCGGCAGGGGGCAGGTGGTGGGAGGTCCTGTGGGCGGGACCTTGAATCTTCGACTTCATGCTGTGGACAGTGGCAGGCCCTTGAAGCCTTTTCTAATCAAAGGAGTGGGGTGGCCAGATGGCAGCTTCGCAAGGCTCACTGGGGCAGCTGGCTAGAGAGGGTCAAGGCTGAGGTGGGGAGGCCACTGGGAGGCTGTTGCTATAATCCAGGCAGAGGTGATGGTGGCCTGGACCTACGGATGGAGTTGAGAGATGTTGAGTACTGAAGCCTCTTGTGGCTTTCTGAATCAGAAACAAAGTCCCTGCCTCAGGTTGCTGTGGGCTAACCGAGTGTCTTCTCCCTCCTCAGAGGTGGCGAGCAATGTGCTGACCCATCCGCCTGGGGCCAGTGTTGTCCTGACCTGCCCAGGCGGGGAACCAGGAGACAATGCCACCTTCCACTGGGTGCTCAGGAATCGGGTCGTAGGGGTCTCAGGCTCACAGCACAACAGGTGGACTGGCGTGGGAAGGAGGCTGCTTCTGAGTTCACTGCAGCTCAACGACTCTGGAAACTATTCGTGCTACCAGGAGGGCCGCCTAGTGGGAACTGTGTGTCTGCTGGTGGATGGTGAGTTGTGTCCTCAGAGCCCTTGGAGACAGCTCCCAGGGCGGGTCTGTGCATTCCAGAGAGAGTTCCCTGCTTGACCCTTCAAACTTCTGTTATTTCCTTGGTCCAAGAATTTTGGGAAAAGGCCCACTGACATCTGCCAGTGGTTCCTGCTGGCTGGGGGCATCTGGCCGATGGGGACACCGTCCAGCTGGCCTTGTTGTGCAGTTAGGTCTAGAGGTGGACTGGTGAATAGCCTGGGGCCTTGAGCAAGGCGGCCTGGGCTTGAATCCTCCTCCTTCACAGCTTAACTTCTCTGCCCCTCAGTTTCCTTGTCGATAAAATAAGTTTCATTTTATTACCTTACCTCAGAGTTGCTGCCAAAATTAAATGAGTGTGTGTGTATGTGTGTACTCACACACACATACATATGGTGTTGAAAACCCCGTGTAGCACATACTAAGCTCTCAAATTAACTGCTCTTTTTTTCAGAAGTAGCAGGTAGTTTGCGCCCTCACATCTGAGAGTCAGACGCCCTGTGTGCCAGGCCCTCTGCTGAGGCACTTTCTTCCTTGATATCTCCTGTCATCCTCCCATTGACCCTGTGAGGGAAAGCAGTATTATTATTATTATTTTATTATCATTTAATTTTATAGTAGGAAACTGGAGAAAGCTTGGGACTTGCCCAAGGCCACACAGCCAGGCCTGTGTGACTCCACAGCCCCTATTTTTTTTAGCTGTTCTCTCTCCCCTTCAGGCAAGTTAGCCCCGGGGCGCCCCCACTTCCCAGCCTGACTGGAGGACTTTGGTGTCCTTTAATTTCCCAGCCACAATTAGATCTGTGTGGCTGTTTGGCCGCAGTGTCCTGGGTCATGGCTGGCTCCAGGGCTGGCGGGGGGCTAGGAGGCTGGGGAGGTCGGAGGGTGGGAATGGGGGGTAGGAGGGGTGCTGAGCCAAGCCGTCGCCTCACAAGGGAGGCGAGGTGTGCTGGCCTCCTCATGCCTGCTGTACTCTCCTCTCAGCTCCTCCCGAGGAGCCCCAGCTCTCCTGCTCCCGGAAGAGCCCCCTCAGCAATGTTGGCTGTGAGTGGAGTCCTCGGAGGCCCCCCTCCCCGACGACCAAGGCCGTGTTACTGGTGAGGAAGTTGTAAGTATCTTGGGCTGGGTGTGTGTTTATGTCCACTCCCTCCCTACGGAGGCCCTGGGAGTGGTAGGGGGGCTCTCAAAGGAGCCAAGTGGGAGTGGCAGGCCAGTGAGTCCAAAACTTTATCATTGGAAAGTAATTACTTTGGGAAGAGGAGGAGGGAATGAGAGGGGACTGAGGTTTCAGATCAAGTGCTCACCCTGTGCTGGACCCTGTGCTGGACCCTGTGCTGGGAACTTTGTCCTGTTAACTATCCCCATAGCCATGGGGAAGCGGGGGTTATTTTTCTCATTTAACAGATGGAGAAACTGAGGTTCAGAGAGGTTGATTAATTTGTTTAAGGTCATCTAGCTAGTAAGTGTCTTTGCTAGGAATCAGCCTCTAGTCTGTCTGATTTCATTCAAAATACAAAGATTTTGGGTGTTGCTCTGAAAGAGATGCAAATATCTCTGAGGGGAAGGGCAGCCAGTTCCTTAACCGTGTCCCGACTGAGCATATCAGGCTCTTTCCATGATAAAAGCAGGTGAGAGGAAGTGGGGATAGGGTGGGGAGAGGGAGCTGGGGGCTGTGGGGCAGGAAGTCACACCTGCCAGGGGGCTCAGGAGACCATAAAGTGGGGGTCCTGGGATGAGTGCAGGCAGGGATGTAGAGGAGGTAGAAGATGCTATAAACAAATACCCGTCTGAGTTTTGTCTGTCTCCATTCCAGAGCCAAGGTCCCCTTAGTCCAGATGTTTGCAATTGAATTTGAGCTGTCAATCATCAGAGTATCAAAAAATCCAAGTGGTGACTTCAATAGGGTGGTTTGGTTTCCACCTGTGTCTGTCTCCTGAGAGCCGCCTGGCGGTAATATTTATGTTTTGGTCTCTGCGCAGAAATGTGTAGATTGCCCATCTGCAAATGATGCTGCTGCCGTTAGGACTGTTAGCTCACACTTGGAGTAGGGAAGCTCAGAAATGTCCACCACCCCAAGCTGGGTTTGGATGTAAATTGTTTGGGACCTGGAAGGCGTTCCTCCAGACAGGATGTTCTGCACAGTGGCCGGCAGCTGCCCAGACCAGCCCACGGAAAGCTTATTCAGTTGACGCTTCAACTAGAATACTTTGTGTGTTGACAGTGAGAGTGAGAAAGAACACGGCATTTTAGCTCACACCCTCCTCCTGCCAGCAGCCAGCAGCACTTCTATCTTCCTCCTGGGCTGTGGAGCGTCAGTATCTGCACTGAGCTGAGGAAGGGGAGGTGGGGAACCACTGCGAGAGTCTCAGGGACCCCAGAACCCACTCAGGCCCCACTAGGACCCTTCAACTGAGGGGGCGTGAATAGGCCCCTGGAAGGATGTTTTGTGTGTTCTGCTCTTTTTCTCTTGGTGTGTATGCACATTCACACCTGCACCCCACTGCGCTTGCTCGCTCATTCTTTCCACAAGTGTTTGGTGAGTTCAGCATCTGCTGTGGTCTAGGTCCTTCACGAGGGCTGAGGGAGAGACATGAGGCGAAAAAGACTAGGCCCCTGCCCTCAAACCCCACAGGGGGACACACCTGTAATCCCGCTGACGACCCCACCTTCTCAGTGTTAGGTGGGATGGAAGCCTGGGTGGCATTGGAGGGAGGCTGTAACTGAGACTGGGAAGGTTGGGGCAGCCTTCCCAGAAGGAAAGAGTTTGTCCGGGGCCCAGGGTTCAATCCCAAGTCAGAGGTTGGTGATTCGTCTCTGCAGTGGCAGGGTGAGTGGCTGCCGTGGCCTCACATGCCCACACATGTCATAAGTGGGTGAAGTCTCAGGCTTCCAGGCCAGGTGAGATGGTGTCTTACTCACCTCGAATATCTTCAATCACCCAGAATTCTTTCCTGGTCTCACTTGCCGGAAATGCTCCCACCTCCTTGCAAACCCCTCCAGCACTCTGTGCTTCTAGAATGGCTTTTCTGCTGGCTGGCCTAGTCATCTGAGTGCCAAGTCTTTTTTGTTAGTGCCTTGAGGCCAGGGTGCGGCCTGTCTTGGTTCATTTCTGCGTCCACCACAGTGCTGAGAGCATAGGACGTGGCAGGAAGCCAGGAGGCACCACAGATCCGATGCATGAGTGATTGAGCGTGCCCTGTAGTTGAGCATCTTTGACCCCCGCTGTGCCAGGTGGCAAGCTAGATGTTTTACACTCATTTTTTTCAATTAATCCTCACAGACTCCTATGAGGTGGCTACTATTAATATTCTCATTTTCGCATGAGAAAACAGAGGCTCAGAGAGGTTGGATAATTTACTGAAAGTCATAAGAGCTACTCAGTGTGGAGCGGGGATTCAGACCCCGGGGTCAGTCTCTGGAGCCCCAGCCTCTAACTCCTGCTCCCCACCTTCTCTCCCGTCCTGAATCAGTGCAGAAACTGAGAGCGAGCCCTGCCCTTGTTTTGTGTCCGACAGTCAGAACAGTCCAGTGGAAAACTTCCAGGAGCCGTGCCCGTATTCCCAGGAGTCCGGGAAGTTCTCTTGCCAGTTGGCAGTCCCAGAGGGAGACAACTCGTTCTACATAGTGTCCCTGTGTGTCGCCAACAGTGCCGGGAGCGAGTCCAGCAGACCCCAAACATTCGAGGGTTATGCAATCTGTAAGTTAGCTCTCCCAGGCCACCGTCTCTACCCTCCAGCTGTTTCCTTCTCTTTGATTGAATACTCCTCTTAGACTTCTTAGAGGGGCAGGGAGGGGCTGGGTGAGGGGTTTGGTGAGCGGGTGTCTTTTGGGCTTTACTTGCCAGAGGTCTGACTGTGGCAGACAAGGGCCTTGTCCAGATGTGCATGGGGAAGTGGTCTAGAGGCGGCCTGGGTCCTGCCTCCTACGGGTTTGCAGAGTCTTCATGGGTTTCTCCTCTGCACCGTACTTGCTGCCACATAGGAGCCATGCTCCCCTTTCCCACAGTGCAGCCGGACCCACCTGTCAACATCACAGTCACCGCTGTGGACAGAAACCCCCGCTGGCTCAGTGTCACCTGGCAAGACCCCCCTTCCTGGAACTCATATTTCTACAGGCTACATTTTGAGCTCCGATACCGGGCTGAACGGTCAAAGACATTCACAACATGGATGGTAAATTCTTATTTTCCTTCTGGACAGAAAAGTGCCCCTAGATACTCAGGGGTAGTAGAAAGGGCACTAGAAAGAAAAAATTGGCTTCAGCCATTCCCTACCTGCATGGCCTCGAATAAGACTCTGAACCTTTTTGAGCCTCGGTTGCCTCATTTATAAAATGGGAATAATAATGCCAGGCCAGTCTCTTCTTCACAGGCCTGTTGGTGAGGCTCAGTGTGCCCTGGGAAGAGAGTTGGGCTAGAAGCCTGTCAAGGGTGTGGCTCGCAGGATCTGTAGTGCATGGAGGTAGGGGCAGGACTTACAGCCTCTGCCTGTGTCGGCCCAGAGGGCAAGCCCATCTCTCTCTGAGCCTCCAGGGTGGTGTGACCCTTTGAAGCGTCTGTGCCCAGCTGAGTCACCCCCTGGCCCCTAGAGGGGGAGCAGCTGAAGGGCAGGGGGTGGCCAAGGGCATCCATGTCCCCGTGGAGCTGCCTCCCCAGCGCCGCCCAGGCGCACCCCAGTGTCACTGGCCTCCCGCCCTCAGGTCAAGGAGCTCCAGCATCACTGCATCATCCACGACGCCTGGAGCGGCATGAGGCACGTGGTGCAGCTCCGGGCCCAGGAGGAGTTTGGGCACGGCTTGTGGAGCGAGTGGAGCCAGGAGGTCATGGGCACGCCCTGGACAGGTACTGTGCTGGGCGTGGAAGGGATGTTTCACCTTCGTTCTTCCTGTATCAGTTATCTATTGCTATGTAACAAGTCACCCCAAAACTTGTAGTCAGACAGCAACCATTTATCTGCTCAAGGTTTTGGAAATAAGTCAGCGAGGCAGTTCTTGCGCTGGTCTTGCCTGAATCACTAATGCAGCCGCATCAGGCCTGCATGGTCCGAGGTGGCCGCACTCACTCACTGTCTGACAGTTGGTGCTGGCTGGTGGCTGGGGCCCTTGGTTCTCGCCGTGGCCTGTCACCTTCCAGTAGGCCAGCTCAGACTCAAGGCGAGGGGAACTGCTCCACAACTTGGTGGGAGGAGCTACAAAGAATTTGTAGCTATCTTTAATCTACCACAGTTACTAATGCTTTTTATTGTTAAAAAGATGTTAAAGCTAATAATAACTGCCTTTGGGGAATTATTGAAATTAGTGTGTTTGTTATCGAACATGAAAAATTCCAGAAAAATATGAAGAATAATTGTCACCAGTGTTCTTACCACCTAGAGAAAACTAGTGAGAACATTTTACTATATTTCCCTTTTTCTAGGTACCTTTATGTGTTTGTATGCATGTATACGTATATATATATATACATATATATATATGTATATATATATATACACATATACAGTCATGCGCCTCATAACAATGTTTCGGTCAACAATGGACCACATATACGACGGTGGTCCCATAAGATTATTTTGAAGCTGAAAAATTCTTATTGTCTAGTGACACTGTAGCGGTCATAACGTCGTAGCACAATGCATTATTCATGTGTTTGTGGTGATGCTGTAGGTGAACAAATCTACTGCACCGCCAGTCGTGTAAAAGTACAGCATACAGCATACAATTATGTACAGTACATAATACTTGATAATGGTAATAAATGACTATGTGACTGGTTTATGTATTTACTATACTATACTTTTTATTGTTATTTTAGAGCATACTCTTTCTACTTATAAAAAAAATTTACTGTAAAACAATATGCCGAGTTATGCCGGCAGTAGCCTCATACGTCTCGTGTCTACCGCGTCGCTTGATTGCATCATTTTCTCTTGTGCTTGATTTAATCTTGTGTTGTTTTGTTCATCATGGCCCCTAAGTGTACAAAATCCACTGCCAATGTTGCCAGTAAGAGGCCACGTCAAGTAATTGACCTGGAAATGAAATTAAACGTGATTAAGGACTACGAAGGTGGAAAACCGTGGTGGTTATTGCTCGCCAGTCAAGCATGTCTCATTCCACCACAGCTATGATCTTGAAGAACAAGAACAAAGTGACAGAAGCTGTTAAAGGATCTGCCTCATCGAAGGCAATGGGACTAACAAAAATTTGAGAAGGGCCTATATCAGACATGGAGAAACTTTTAATGACTTGATTGAAGACCAGACAGAGAAGCGTATCCCTCTTAGCACCATGACAGTCACGGCCAAAGCAAAAGTTTGTTTCTGATGTTGAAAGAAAAGGCTGGACCCTACTAAGATGTTGAATTTACTTCTAGCTGTAGGTAGTTTAAATGATTCAAGGATCGTTATTCATACATAATGTGAAAGTGAGTGGTAGGTCTGGGAGTGCTGATGTGAAAGCAGCTGGAGAATTTTTGGAAACTCTAGATAAGCTGATTGTGGAGGAAAATTACTTGCCAGAGCAAATATTCAATATGGATTAAACCTCCGTATTCTGGAAACGGACGCCTGAAAGACTTTCATCCATAACGAGGCCAAGTCAATGTCAGGTTTCAAGGCTTTTGAGGACAGGATAACAGTCTTGCTTGGGGGCAATGTTGCAGGCTACAAATTGAAACCCTTTGTGATCTGGCACAGTGAGAACCCCAGGGCCTTCAAACATGTCAGTAAGCACTTATAGGAGCAGTAAGAAGTCATGGATGACCCAGCTCCTCTTCCAAGATGCCTCCTGAATTGCTGTGCTAGCGAAATGGAGGAGTACTGTTTGGAGAATAACATACCTTCAAGATTTTTCTTATAGTTGATAATACTCCCAGACATCCTCTCTTTATTGGTGATCTTCATCCCAATATTAAAATGATGTTTCTCCCTCCAAACACCACTTCTTTGATCCATCCATTGGATCAAGGAGTTGTAGCAGCTTTTAAGACCTACTACTTGAGGAGGACCTTCGCCCAGGCTATTGCTGCAACTGAGGAAGACACTGATGCAATTCTGGAAGGATTACCACATCTGTGGTTGCATCAAGAACCTTGCTTTGGCTTGTGGTGATGTCACCAAGGAGTGTATGAATGGCATCTGGAAGAAGACACTCGAGAGGTTTGTCCATGACTTCAGAGGATTTGCCAAAGATGAGGAGGTTGCAGAAATCAACAAGCTGTGGTTGAGCTGGCAGACAGCTTTAACCTGGTTGTGGATGAGGAGGACATTGAGGAGCTCCTAGAGTTGGTTCCTGAGGAGTTGGCTAATGAGGAGTTGTTGGAACTGGAACAGGAATGCATTGCTGAAGAAGAGGCAAGAGAAAAAGAAACTGCAAGAGAAGAAAAAGAAGAACTCCAAGAAAATTCAGAGTGGAGGGTGTAGCAGAAGCTTGTGCAGACCTCAACAAGCTCCTTAGAAAGTTTGAAAACATGGATCCCAACACCAAAAGGTTTTCCTCAATAGAGAGGAATGTTCATGGTGCATTATCTGCTTAGAAGCAGATCTGTGATGAAAAAAAGAAACAAACCAAGCAAACCACCATAGATATATTTCTGAAGAGTGACTCCTCCTTAAGAAGATCCTTAGGCAGGTACTTCTGGAGGTATTCCAGAAGAAGGCATTGTTATCATAGGAGATGACAGCTCCATACGTGTTATTGCCCCGAAGACCTTCCAGTGGGACAGGATGTGGAGATGGAAGACAGTGATATTGGTGGTCCTGACCCTATGTAGGCCTAGGCTAATGTGTGTATTGTCTCTTAGTTTTTAACAAAAAAGTTTACAAAGGAAAACAAAATAAAAAAATTTAAAAACACAAAAAAGCTTATAGAATTAAGAATGTAAAGAAAAAAGATATTTTTGTACAGCTGTACAGTGTGTGTGTGTTTTAAGCTAAGTGTTATTACAAGAGTCAAAAAGTAAAAAAAAAGTTAAAAAGTTTCTAAAGTAAAAACATTACGGTAGGGCCGGCTCCGTGGCTTAGCGGTTAAGTGCGCGCGCTCTGATGCTGGCGGCCCGGGTTCGGATCCCGGGCGCGCCCCGAGGCACCACTTCTCCGTCCAACCCGAGGCCGAGTCCCACGTACAGCAACTAGAAGGATGCGAACCTATGACATACAACTATCTACTGGGGCTTTGGGGGGAAAAAAATGAATAAATAAAATCTTTAAAAAAAAAAAAAAAAAACATTACAGTAAGCTAAGGTTAATTTACTATTGAAGAAAGAAAAGTATTTTTTTATAAATTTAGTGTAGCCTAAGTGTACGGTGTTTATAAAGTCTACAGTAATGTCCTAGGCCTTCACATTCACTCACCACTCACTCACTGTCTCTCCCAGAGCAACTTCCAGTCTTGTAAGTTCCATTCATGGTAAGTCCCCTATACAGGTGTACCATTTTTTATCTTTTATAACTGTATTCTTATTGTACCTTTTCTATGTTTAGATATGTTCAGATACACAAATACTTACCATTGTGTTATGTTGTGTTACAATTCGGTACAGTAACATGCTGTACAAGTTTGTAGCCTAGGAGCAATAAGCTATACCGTATTGCCTAGATGTGTGGTAGGCTATACCATCTAGGTTTGTGTAAACACACTCTGTGATGTTCACACGATGATGAAATCACCTAAGGATGCATTTCTCAGAATGTATCCCCATCGTTAAGCAATGCATGACTGTATATAAAATATCGCAAGAATTCCCACGTTATTAAATGTTTTTTGGAAATGTATTATTTAGTAACTGCGTGATTAATTTTTTTGTGTGTGTGTGAGGAAGATCAGCCCTGAACTAACATCCATGCTAATCCTCCTCTTTTTGCTGAGGAAGACTGGCTCTGAGCTAACATCTATGGCCAATCCTCCTCCTCCCCGCCCCGCCCCAAAGCCCCAGTAGATAGTTGTATGTCATAGCTGCACATCCTTCTAGTTGCTGTATGTGGGACGCGGCCTCAGCATGGCCGGACAAGCGGTGCGTCGGTGCGCGCCCGGGATCAGAACCCGGGCCGCCAGCAGTGGAACGCACGCACTTAACCGCTAAGCCATGGGGCCGGCCCTAATTTTTGTTTTTTAACCCATAGGAATTTTTTCTTTAACTTTAAGGTTTTTTTTCAAATTAATACATGCCCATGACAAAGCAGCAAAGAATCGCATATAATAAGAAGTGTCCTTTCCACCACCCCTTCCCGTTTCCAGTCCTGCTTTCTAGAGGAAGCTGCTTGACTTTCTGTTTCTAGTTCTTCTGTTGGTGACTCCTTAACTCTCAACAACAAGCTAATATGGCTTTTTTTTCCTGAGAAAACAACTTGAGACATTATCTTTTGACTCCTTCCTGTGAAAGATTAGGATTTAGCAGAACTAGGCCCAGTGCAGGAATCTCCCGACTACACCCCAGAGAATGATCATCCAGCCTCTGCTCGAATGCTTCCAGAGATGGAGAGCTTACTGCCCCTTGTAGGAGCCGATTCCATTGTTCCCAGTGTTCTTATTGTAGAATGGCTTCCAGGCTTGCTTCAGTGTCACATCTTTTTAGCTTAGAAGTATAGCTGAACCAAATTGGTTGTTCTTAAATATCAGGCAGTTAAAAAAAAAAAAAGAATAAGACACTCATTTATTGCATAGGAATGGATAAAAAGGAAAAGATAGAAATGACATCAATTGCCCAGACCCATCCCTACCCCTGCCACTTTCTCTAGCCCTGGCCTGAGGGAGAAGACTGTTATGTAGAGGCTACGCATTCTGCCCCCAGAACGGATGCTGTGATGTGATGGCTTTTTCTTCTACCTAGCTTTGCAATGTGGGGTCCTTGTCTTTCCTGTTCTGGGAGAGCCAGAGGAGTGGGCTTGGGGCTTAGTGTGTCTTCCTAATTGGATGCACGTAATGTCAAGTGCAGGCTCAGATCTTTGTTGGTGCTTTTCCATGTCCTGTCTATCAAGAGCAGGAGGCAGTTCTCTATTGGACCCTCTTCTCAAAAGCTTATTTCCTGCCAAGACTTGGATAAGAAGGGAGGCCCAGCTACTATATCTTACTTAGGAAGTAAGGAAGACCATTTAAATAAATCAGAGCATCCTTCAGGCCAGATTGTGTGACCTGTCCATGGTTGTTTTTGATTTGTATACACTCTGAGCCAAAACATGGTCATTATCTGAATGTTGAACATTAATGTGGTTTTGGGAGCCTTTGCAAGGGGAGGAAATTATTTACAACATGGTGCAGAGGGAATGTTCTGGATACAGGCCAACACCTGTTTACCTTTTATCCCAACCACTTAATTTAGATAGTCACAAACTGATTTAAGAAATCCTGTTTTTGTTAGAAAGTTCTTTCTTTTTAAAAATCTTTAATTGTGGTAAAATATGCATAACAAAATTTATCATTTTAACAATTTTTAAGTATACGGTTCAGTGGCATTAAGTACATTCACCTTGTTGTGCAGCCATCACCACTGCACATCTCCAGAACTCTTCTCATCTTGCAAAACTGAAACTCTATATCCGTTAAACATTTAACTTCCCATTCTTCCCCTCCCCCCAGCCCCTGGCAACTACCATTCTACTTTCTGTCTCTGTGAGTTTAACTACTCTAGGTACCTTTTATAAGTGGAATCATATGGTCTTTGTCTTTTTGTGATTGGTTTATTTCACTTAGCATAATGTCCTCAAGATTCATCCATGTTGTAACGTGTCAGAATTTCCTCCTTTTTTAAGGCCGAATAATATTCCATTATATGTACATACTACATTTTGTTTATCCATTCATTCGTGGATAGACACTGGGGTTGCTTCCACATTTTGACTATTGTGAATAATGCTGCTATGAACATGGGTGTACAAATATCTGTTCAGGTCCCTGCTTTCAGTTCTTTTGAGTATATACCCAGAAGTGGAATTGCTACATCCTGTGGTAATTTTGTTTCTAATTTTTTGAGGAACTGCCATACTGTTTTCCGCGGTGGTTGCACCATTTTATATTCCTATCAGCAATGCACAGGGTTCCAATTTCTGCACATCTTTGCCAACACTTGTTCTGTGTTTTTGATAATAGTCATCCTAATGGATGTGAAATGGTATTGTGGTTTTGATTCGCATCTCCATAATGATTAGTGAAGTTGAGCATCTTTTCATGTGTTTCTTGGCCATGTGTATATCTTTTTTGGAGAAATGTCTACTCAGAAAGTTCTTTTTCATGTGAACCCAACTCTGGCCTCACTGGGCCTTGCTGTCTGGGGTGACCAAGTGTTGGCAGAGAGTAGTCTGCTAGTCTACTCTCTCTGAATTCTTCTGGAATTCCCAGAAGACCTGCATCTGCTTGGGCCTCTGTTCCCAGTCTGTTGTATGGGATGGCTTGTGGGTTTCTCACTGAACCTCGTCTCGTTTGTGGATAATCCTTTTTAAATTGTTGACGTCCTCCCTCCAGTGGAAGATGGTGTAGCTGGGGCACAGTCTCCAACTTTTCAGCCTCATGCCACTGTGCTTCTGTGACTTGCTAGAGTGACCACGTGAGCTCAGCCAGAACACTTGGCTACTTCTCCCATAAGCAGCTGAAGAGTGTGAGCTCCCCATCCTGTCAATGTGTGGTTTGGGGGGGTCCTCAAAACCCTACTGGTGAATGTGTTCAAGAGAGAAACAAGCTGCTCCCCTCTCTGCTGAGGGCAGAGCAAGGGGAACTTGGATGATTCTGATGCAGGAGGGATTTTGGTTGGAAATTGGGGAGCACTTCTAGAAAATGAGAGGGAACTTAGAACACTAGTTTAGGTGTGTTTTACTGACAGTGGAGTTTTTTGTCTGTTTGGGACATGTCAGTGCACTAGATACCACATCAATGGGCATCCCAACCCCAAAGACCTCCAGCCCTTGAAGCCCAGATGGACAGGATGCCCCTACCTCTCAGCCTAGGTGTGGGGTGGTGACATAGGTCATGGGAAGTACTTTGGACTTGGGAATCAGGTTGTATGACCTTGGTAAAGTTAGTTTACCTCTCAGAGCCTCAGTTTTGTCATCTGGAAAGTGGAGGTGATATGACTTGTCTTCTCACCTTTGGAGAGCTTTTGTGAGTCCACTGGAAAACATTCTTTAGAAATAATAACCCGTCCTGCAAATGTAGGGGCATTAGCAATTACAGTGCAATGTTGTTTGGTGCTTGGGGTAAAGAGTGTGGGGCCAAGGGCATCCCAGAATCGCTACCCTGGGTACCATCCTGGACCCACTGAATTGGAATCTGGAGGGGGATGTAGAATGGGTAGTTTGCGAAAGCTTTCCCAATGATCATAGTATGTGCTGGGTGGCTGGAGGTTCCCTGTAGGAGGGGAGGGCCGGGCCCTGAGTCACACCTCTCGGGGCCCCTGCTCCAGCCAGCAGGGCCAGGTCCTTTGGACAGCAGCAGCTGCAGTGACTCATCGAGACTGTGGCACTG